CCAAGATGCTTGCCCCTTCTTCCAATAGGAAGTACTTACACACTTACGTGCTCCCACAAGAGGCATACGTTTCCAAATCCAGGCAGGTGACGCTTAGCATGTGTTACCTCTGCTGGGGAGAGATTGCGTGTCATTACCGGTCAGTGTCTGGTTGCCCCATGTCATTGCCTCCCCAGCCCCAGGGCTGGTGACCCTGGCAAGGAAGGAGTGAGTCCTCCTGTATGAAACTGCCCCTGTTCAGCGCTCCCGAAGCGACAGGAGACGCTGGGTGTGAGCATTTAGCTGACTCCAGCTCCTGGAGAGAAGGAAGGGGGTTACTCGTGGCCGTGGTCCTTCTCCCTGCTCTGTAACAGCACAATGAACGTTTTATTTTCCATAGAAAATGGTAGCATAGCCTAAGATCAGTAACTGTGCTGTCTTGCATGCTTCTTCATTTTTTGCGAATGAATTCTGAAAAGAGACAGAAATGTAATTCTTTTGGGCTGAAATCATGCCCGTACTTTGGGTATTAATTCTGAGGGAAGGTAAGTGATGAAATTAAATGACATACAATAACGTTTGATGGTTTTTGGATTAAGCGGAGTGATTGATGCAATGAACTTGTAGGGAGAAAAGTGCACAAACTACCTAAATAACTGGTTATGCTGATGGTGGGCCTAAATCTCCTGTGATGTTTTTTCCATTCAGCATTTTGAGTGAATCTAGGTATGAGTCACTACCCGAGCACGCAAAAGGACAGTGTGTTCAGAATACATCCAGGCAAAACAGCTGCCCCTTGTCCATTTTTCAAATGACTGGGCTTCTGTGGGCACCGAGACTGGATACCATCTAGTGAGAAATACACCTGCAGCATAGCAGGCCCAGACTACCTGGCACTCTCCGCTGGCTCTCGGACAGGTGCAAAATCTCGAGTGGGAGGCCAGCCCCAGGGAAGTTCAGGGGATGTCTGTCATTGTCCTCAGCAGCATCACGGTTTCACTTTGTGCCCTTTGCTGGGGGAAATCATTCCAAATAGGAACCGATACCAGTAAAACTACCGTGTTTCATCACTTCATCACACTGCTGATGTTTGGTTTTTTTTTTACGCAGAGAAGCATTCTGCAATATATGAGAGGTTGGCAATGTGCGGCTATAGCTCTGGCTGCTTTGCATAGGTAGGTACATCTGCTGCAACACAAGGCCAAGTTCCTCTTTGGGGAAAGCCTGTGCTGCCACTTGTCGGGGTACAAAGCTGTGATTCTGGGCAGTTGTCTCAACAGCTGTTACTGGAATTAAGCTGTTGATAGTGTGGAAAAGTAAAGGCAGTGCTACAGTTGATACATACAACTTTTATTAGAGTGGTTGACAGCAAAGGTAGGTTTGAATGAATATTACTTTACATACAGAACAGAACAAAATTTTGAGGATCTGTACATTTGAGAAGATTAATGGGCGTGCAACTTTACACAGAAACAGATCATGTAAGCATAGCTATGTTCACGTTAGGAACTTTTCTGAAAAGCAGACAAATGGGTAAAATCGCGTTGAAGAGCTAAATCCTTATTCATCCTTCCTCCATGTGTCCTTGGAAGAGCTGATCCTGATGGCAGAGAAAGAAACAAATGCTCTGGTACTCTGAAAACTATGTTTCCTCTTTGGAATTAAACCATGGTTTCAGATACTCAGGTGTTTAGGCCGCAAGTCCTGGATAACCCACTCAGAGCCTTGGTCACTGGTTTGTTTGGAGGTTTTTGGCTACCTGAGGTAATACACTGTGACTCTCCTGTAGAGATCCCGTGTCAGTAAGAGCGCTTTGCAAGTGTGGCAGCTTGTCCATACTTGCATCACACTGCGAGATCGAGTCACAAATCTTTCCCAATCTCTGATTTAGAAAGAGTGAATAGGAACCACATGACTTATGGTACAACTCGAGCCTATGGAAATCATTTCCTTGATGTTAGTAAACTTTGGATCTGGCCTGTAGAGTAGAGTGAGGTCTTTGTGGGCATTGAGGGTGTTGCATGCAAAAAAATCTGGTTGCTTTTGCTAATCTGAGATTTACCTTTCCCTCCCTGGCTTTAGGCCTGATCCGTAGCAGTTGTTGAAATCAAGGGTGCAATTCTCAGTGACTTCCGTGAGAGTAGGGGGAATGATTTCACATGGGAAATGACTCCAGGTATAGGGTGTAGCTTTACTCTAGACTTTTCTCCCAATGCCTTCTCCGTCTCTACTGGAAATAGTCACTATGCAGCATGTGCACGCTTTCGCGGTGAATTTCTCTACCAGCAGCACAACTTCAGAAATTACTTGGCCTGCAGATTTGTCACACACTACGTGCTCTCCCTCCTCCTTTGGTGATGACGGCTTACACCAGAGCAAACGTCACACAGAGGTGAATAGCGCAGAAAGCCAAAAGATGTGTGTGTGAGCACTGTGGCGAGTGGGTGCTGGTGACCCCCAGCACGTACTTCATGGACTGCCCGTCTCACAGCACTAGCACCCCAACGCACACATGGTCTGATGCGTGAAGGTTTGCAGCACTCGGCTACCTCTGGGAATGTGCATGCTGGGGTGACGTTGCCTCTGCAGCAGGATGGTGTCACCAACCCTCCTCCCCCGGGACCATCGGGATGGATGGGCACATCCCCTGGCACCACTGGGCAGGCAGGACAGCAGTCTGGATTTACATACGTATGAGTGGCCTCCAGAATCATTTGCAGCATGCAGCTGAGGACAAAGAGGAATGAGAGCCTGTACCAGGGCTTCCCCTCTTCTCTGAAGCAGAAAAACAGGGGTGTTTCTGAGGGCAGTGTGAGCATTAGCTGGCCCCAGTGCCTGTGTCTGGGGAACAGATATATAACCTGAACTGGAATTAATGGCTCTTAAAATGCTCGTGTGTTATGGGAACTTTAAAGAAATGTTAAAAGTACTATTTCTTGAGTTTGGAGTTATAGCTAGTGCTATGAAACACACTCTTTTCCCATATATTTAACTGTCACTGAATGACATTTGATGTGCAAGGTGAGAATAGAAGGAAGACAATAATGTTTCACAACCACAGAATCCAATTTTAAGGAAGGGAATAACACTTTTGACTAGCTATATATTCACTGGCTATATAATTTAGTGGTAAATTACATCCCCCTCCCCTGGTTTTGGTTGGGATAGAGTTAATTTTCTTTCTAGTAGCTGGTATGGTGCTGTGTTTTGGATTTAGCATGAGAATAATGTTGATAAACCTCTGATGTTTTGGTTGTTGCTGAGTGGTGCTAATGCTAAGTCAAGGACTTTTCAGCTACCCATGCTCTGCCAGCGAGGAAATGCACAAGAAGCTGGGAGGGTGCACAGCTGGGACAGGTGACCCAAACTGGCCAAAGGGATACCATATGATATATGATATCATGCCATATGATGTCATGCTGCTTATTAATTTTCCTTTCTTTTTCTGCCCTATTAAATTGTCATTTTCTCAACCCACAAATTTTACGTTCTTTTCCCAGTTCTCTTCCCCATGCCACTGTGAGGGCAGGGCATGGGGAGAGTGAGGGAATGGCTGTGTGGTGTTTAGCTGCTTCTGGGTTAAACCACAACACCCCCTTTCAACAGCAGCCCTGTGATTAGAGGAAAAAAACTAGCAAATGCACAGAACAGACTATGATTGATGTAACATGATCAGTAAAGAGAAATTCAGCTGTCTGAGTTTTAACTACTAGGTCAAACAGGTGAAGTGCTAAGTTTAAGATCTCAGAGGTATTTCCTTATCTCTTACAAATTAGAGGACTAATTTCTTCATGCTTGCTCTAGCCACACCACATGTATCTCCACTGGTTTGTGCAGCAGTACACCTGAACCTAGATCTCATCCCTACCTCTTTGTCTAAAATCATGTCATGTGCTTCTAAAGCCCCTGTGCATGGAGCAAAGGGGAGGACCCAGGCTCGCCCCGATAAGCCAGGCTGCGAGGAGAACGGTCGCTCCTCTGCTGCTTGCTTGCCTTGCCAAGTCCTTGCTGCTCCCACAGCCCTGGTGCCAGTGCTATGGTGGCTCCTAGCCCAGTGCCAGTGGGGCACTGGGATGGCAGCCAGGGGCACGGTGTAATAAGCAAGCTGGCAGAAAGCTGTTGGCTGGGGACTAATTTCCAGCACATCGCAGCTGCAGCCGGAGGAGCTGGGGCTGCCTGGCATGGGCGGCAGGCCTGTCCAGGCTGGAGCAGGGGGAGCTTTGCCACGGGGCTGTCACCGGCTACAGGGAGAGGAGAGAGGTTCTGGGGCAGCCCAGGGCCAGCTTCCCTCTCCACAGGGTGTTTGCCCACCACCTCCCAGGTTTACAGCTTGTGCAGGGGAGGACACAGAACCTATGTGTGCTTCTGGTGCTGGATGAGGCTCCTGGATTTGGAGTGACCTGCATTGTAACCACCAGCAGAATGATCCCCGAGTACTTTGTCCTGGCTCAGGTTGATAATTGTTGGGGGCTGGGCCCCAGTGAGCTGCTAGTTGCTTTCCAAAGAGTGCTTATTTAAGGCACATCTCACATCCAGCAAAACTGCTGCATGTGAGGAACTTTCCCAGGACAAGGAGCCGGATGTGTCTGGAAAATGGACCCAGGACTGTGTCTGGGAGGTGAAACCCCAGCTGAGGGCAGGGAGGAGGGCAACTGCACCAAAGGGAGCATTATTAGAGGGAAAGACCATGCTGAGCCTGGCAGTTTGAAGCCATGAGAGACCAGCATGCTGGGCTGTAGAGCTCTGTACTGGCCACAGGTATCTCCTTCCAGAGTGCAGATATCAACCTACTGGAAGTGGCCTAGAGGGAGATTCTGCCTTGATACGAAATTACTCTGAGGTTACTCTTGAGTAGCTTAAAGACAACTACGCGTACAAGCTGCAGAGCTTATCACATGTTTTATCTCACCGTGACAGTTGCTGGGAAGTACCAACAGGTCATGTTTGCCCGCTCTAGGGGTCTGTGTGATAACTCCGATGGCTGTCCCCTATTAGCTGCGTCTTCTCGGTTGCGTTAGTCGGCTGAAGCACGATAGGAGTTTCTCCATCTAAATTAGGGAGGAGGACAAAAGTTATTTTAAGAATCTTTCACTTGATACCAAAGTCAAATTTCTTGTTATCACCACCACGTTTCATCTGCTGCTTTGGCTACGGTTTAACCTTCACAGGCAGCTGTGTGCCTACTGAAGAGATGGCAATGCCCACACCGAGTCTACAGGTGCTTACTCCTTGTCAATGTGTAATGGCATATTTCTGGGTGACTGTTGCTGTTGTTATTAAACTGGACATTGGCTGTACCTGGGGCTTTGCAGAGATTGCAGGGTAAGGGTTCTTGCCTGTTCCAATTGCAAATGCTTGTTCCTGCAAATGTCTGAATATAATGAGCACCGTTGTGAATCAGCAGGCACTAACCTTGACAGCGTTTGTGAGAATGGGCTAGAAATGAGTCTTGAAGAAGGCAAAGTTAACAGTAAAGAAAGAAGAGAGTTAAAAGGAAAAAAATGTGTGAGCAGTAATATACTTGAGAGGGAAGAAATCACATATATCCTGAAAGCCAGCTCGTTAAAAAAAAAAAGTTAAATTCCATTTTGAAGTCTTATGTAATACATGTACAATAGGTTATTGAGAATTACTGTTTTAATGAGTTCAGAACTGCCAAAACTTCATATTATCACTATATAAATCCTTACTGCTTTGTACTTTCTCATTCCATGCAGTTATGTCTTTGGTTTCCCAGTATATCTGTTAAAAAAAGGATTTGTTGTCGAGTGAAGGAAAGTGAAGTCCTTCCAGAGTTCCCTGATGACTGTTGTGTTCCCTCTGATAATGAACAAGGTTTGGCTGCCCTTCTCCTGGGCCCCTTTCCAACCCACCTTTTTTTTTGTGGGAGGGAAGAGGGAACAGAAGACTCAGAGACTGACTTTTAAAGGTTTAGCCATCTCAGTGAAGTGTTTTCATATGAAAAATTTTGGGCTATCTATATCTTGATACTAGCACAGCCTTCACACTAATTGAATACAAATAATGACTTTTTTTTTGCGCCAAATGACCAAATGTTCAGAAAAAAAAACCTCATCTGATATTTCCTCCTGTTTACATGACAGTTGATGGGATGAATCATGGGCAAAAGATGTAATGTACAGGAGTAACTTAACCCGGAGCAGGAATCTAATTGCGTGCCATACGGCTTCCTCTCAGTGGGGGTAGAACAACTTTGACTCTGTCAAGGTGAAAGGCAAAAATGATTAAATGCCAAGCAGCTTCTCTGTATGGGCAATTCTGTATTTAGACACAAGGTCAAAGACAGACATGTTTCATAACTTCTCAAAGTATATGAGTAATTAATGCTTAGAGCTCAGCTCGAGCTCAGATTAGTTTGGCAGTTCCAACCCATTTTTAAGTTACTGTGTATTTTCTGGATTTCTGAGCAGCACTCCCTCCCACTCTCTGCCGCCTCCGAGTTGTTCATTTCATGGGAGATCGTTGATGGAGGGCAGAGATGAGCAGTTCATTTTGCTGTGATACCCAGATGTGCAACAAGAGAAAAGGACCGACAGCAAATATGTTGTGATGCTACCAGCCAATCTGCAGGCAGTTCTGAGCTGACACCGTCCCCAAGTATTTTGCTGCCCACACCCTTCTTGATACCCGTTTTTATCAGAACAGGGACTCGTGGTAAAATAAAGTGTACAAATATAGCCTGCTAATGGAGAACTGCAGAATGGAGGTGCGGCAGAATTCAGTTTAAACTGTTGTCTATAGATAGCTCTTGCTCACTCTTCGCCTACATTGGTATCATATGGAGTGCTGAGGAGACAATGAAGTGCTAAAAACTTGTTGCTTCTGAGCTGGGAAAGTATTTTGTTATTCAGATTCTTTTTTTTTTTTCAATTTTCTGGAAAACGAAAGCTGGGCTAGAAATGCCTTACTTTGTTCTTACAGTGATAACCGAACAGTAGAGGAGAACAAACCTACCAAACTGCTTTGAGCGCATCATTACAGCCAGAAGTACCAAAGCAGTCCGAATTCTAACAGCACCTCCTTTGGGACCACAGAAGTTGACAAAAGGTTTGCCACTGACTTAAGCGGAAGCAAAATCTGGCAACCTGCCCCGTGCGCACGAGTGAAAGTGATGAACACTTGCACGCGTCCGTGCTGCAGACAAGCAAGTGATGCTTCCCTCTGCCAGCGTATTTTTGCAGGTCACCCCTCACATCATGGCATGATACCACAGATTACTCTTTGTAATGCTGTTTTAATGTCATATTTGATCTGAAATGCTAAAAAATGTCATGTTTAAAATGTAACTATCCAAATATAAGATTTATTTTTTGATCTTTCATTGTGCATTAGGCCATAGTCCTTCTGTGCTACAAATCAATAGTCAAGGGAAGAAATCACTGTAACCTAAGTACAGGCCAGGTCTTGCAAACCCCTATTTTCCTACAGTTCTGATGGTAATGGTACTCATGGGAATACCTGCTGTAAAACAAATCTCTCACAGCAGATACACAACTAGCTGAGCGCTGGCACTTGTCAAATACATTTGAATACAACTTTATTCTAGAGGGATATGCCATTTCATGAGAATTTAAGCCTTTGACGTGTTTGTGTTGATTTCAGGGACAACTTCCTTTACTTTTACATTTTAGGGAACGGATCACTGAATTTTTGGCCTCACATATCATTCTCCCTAATAACTATGGTTTATAGTATGTTCATTTGAGGAAGGAAGTGAACTCTGTAACACCTTGATTTTGTTAAGGAGAAATATGAGTGACTCTGATAATTAATACTGTTGTGTCAATTTAAAAGATGAAGTCTAAATCTCCACTCCCACCACACACATATTGCCTCTTCTGTGCAGTACAACCAGCTCCGAGCAGCTCCCACTGAGCGCAGCAACAACTGGTGGAGACTCGCTCTCAGAGGCTTTTTGCATCAGGAATGGTAATGTTTTATCAATGTTACATTCCTCAGAAAAGTAATGCCTGACTACAAAACATTTGGATAAATTAAAGTATGGCCTTAGCTGGAGAATCTGCATTTTGACCATAGCAAAAAATGTTCTGGCTAGCAATAATACTGGGGACAGCAGGAAGCAAATAAATTAATTAGCACCTAGAATGCTCAGTCTGTGGGCAGAGGGCATACAAAGAATTTGGATCCTAATAGGATTTCCTCTTTCAAAATGAAATCTGCTGCAGGAGTGATTACAGTTTGCTGCTGAATTATCTACAGGAGCATTTCTATTATTTAGATAAAGGAAGCAACGAGTATTCATTTCCATGGCCTAACATTTGAAAATATTTGGTGGAAAAGCCCAATCTTTGCCATTGTAAGTCAGCTGCATCTTTTTGGCCAGCCTCCCTAAAATAATGGGGGTGAGGGGGGTGTGTGGGGTGTGGGAAAGGAGGAAGTGCAGTTTAAGCTGGTTATCATTCATTTTTCTAAATGAGGTATCTATTTTATTTTCAGCTGTAGAAAAGTTGCTCACATTATCCTCTGTCATGAAGTTTTTTATTTTATTACTGATATTTTGCTCTCCTTTAATCTGATTTTAAAACACAGAGAATTTTACTCTACTGAAGAAAGCTGATGTTGATTGGTAGGAAAATGTATCAAGATTGAAGAGAAGGGTAGAAAAAGTAGAAACACCTAGTTTTCTCCAGGCCATACCTGTAGATGTACTAATGTCTTCAAAATACTTAAAACACGCAATTCCACAGTCTGTTAATTTTTCAGACTAGTACTTTGCTAAACATTGTTAATTATTGTTAAAAATTGATATCTCAGTGAGACTTGATGGGAGTGGTGGGATGGGAAGGTGGCCTAAAAATTACTGAACACCAATAAACGCCACTTGTGCTGGAAGGAGGGAACAATTTCTTTCCTGCGACTAAGAAATTTCATGCTGGATTTTGAGAGAGAGCAAAATTACAAAAAAAGGCAGAATTAAGAAATTATTTTCCTTCAAAGTTCCATCTTCATATTTCAAACTTGTCTTTGGTGTCACAGACCCATAAATATGAAGACCCATTTTAAATTTGCATGTTCCAGATGCCTAATGTCATAGAGTATATTGCATTTATTTCAAATAATGCATTGTGGTTATGAAGCTTTCACTATAAGTTTTTGTTGCCTTTACAGAGACTGATCAAGTATGATCAATTTTTAGGCTGACTGTATTTGTTTTTTATGCCTCTAGGCAAAACCAATTTAAAAACACCACCATAAGTTGGCATATCAGTTATAAATAGCATTTGTTTCAACTACTACAAGTGTTTTGTTACATATTTATGGAAGAGTAAATTTGTGTGAAAAGTTGGGGGGAAAAAAGTTCTTCCCGCTAAGGGAACATGACATTTGCAATCTGGCAGTGCTAATTTAAGCATAATAAACGTAAGAGTATAACAGCGTAAGACCTTCCATAACAATGGAAGCGAAAAAGAGTGAGCTTGACTGCTTACGTCCTTCCTCATAAAAAACATAATCCTAATCATAGTTCATATAAATTTGCAACTGAAAAGTGATCTCAGCCCCATGCCATGGCCTCTTATTGCTGGAGCAAAGATCATGGCCTCTCTCAGGGTGCCCTGTGGGTGTCCACATCTAACCGCTTTGAGATCTTTTTGCTTCCACTGATGTTGAAGGCAAAACTCTGCCCCACTTTAGCAGACTAGGACAGGGCTCTTTGTTCAAAATACATAAGTCACTCCAGTGCCAAATTAGAAAATCACTATCATGATCCTTTGGTATAGCCCAAACCTGTGTTTGCGTCTCGGGGACACAGGAAAGTCAAGGAATGAAGTCACCTGCTGTGAAGGGGCTCCCGCTGCCCCCAGCCCATGTTCCTGGACGTGTGCTCTTTCTCCCTTCTTTGAGCCAGCATTAGCACTTGGCCTGCCCCACCATGAGGCATGGTAGGGAGTTAAATGGACAGGGAACCACACACATTTTTGAGAGGATTAGTTTTTCACCTGGATCTTATCCAAGACCTGGCTCTTGGTAAGGCAGCACAATTACTACTTCCAGAGAAGAAGAGAGAGTAGCTTGGGGGCTGGATAGGAGAGGGACAGGACTGCCGCAGCTCCCACACAAACTGTATGAGGTTACTGTGCAACCTTACCCATGGAAACTTTGCATCTTTTCTTAAAGCCTTTTCTTGGATGGGTACAGTTGGCCCATCACAGTCAGTGATAAATACTACATTAATAAAAACTGAATGACAGCTTATTCAGGCAGATCAGATATGGCGAGCACCAGTCCAGGCAGAGCCTAGTGTGTGAGTATAGGGTCTAGGACATGAAGCAACGTAGGTATGGGGGCTAGAGGGTGAACATTGTCTCTTAAGATGAGCCCTGATGTTTAAGTGTCTTATAAGAGATACCGGGGATACTTAATTGTTAGTGCCATAAATTTAGTTTTCATTGACACACAATCTAGGAAGTTCATCAGGTCACGGTGTTAGCTAGAGCGAATTGGCATGTCTCCACTGATGTCCCAAAGCAGCCTCAGCATCATGAGCAGTGCATCTGGCCTACGGGCTTTAAAGATTGTTTTGAACAGCTTTGCCATACAGTAAGCCCCCATAATACACACCTCTTTCCATGTCATTCTTAATTTGCTCTTCCAGATCTTCTGGAGACACACAAAACTCATGCTCTTCCCCTTCGGGTGCTTTGGGTTTACATTTTCCACAGCAGCAGTTGAAGCAGCAGCAGAGGCAGCAGCAGAGGTAGCAGCCCGTCAGAAGGCCACAGACTGCAAACAGGCCCTGGATTAAACACAGTGGGAGGAAAACTCCATGAGCAATGACCTTCCTGAAGCTCATGACAGCCTTTTGCAGCTGAAGGCAAATCGTCAAAGGAACTTGGGTTCCTAAGTGCTTGGCACTCAGAAGAGTCCAGCTGCTGGAACCCCTGGACAAGGGTCAGATCTTCACCCACCAGCCCCCGCTTGCCACTCAGGACCATGTCCACAAAGAAGACACCAACCAACAGGCCCACACATGCTCAACTTTTGAAAGTCTGTCTTCAGCTGACAGCCCTCGGAAGAAACTTCCAGGTGGTATGCAAAACCCCACCCACCTTAAAATGACTCATTTCCACCTTATAAATGACTCATTTGCCCAAGATCATTTTCGCAAACACTTATTTACTGGCAGGTTCTTGTCAATAACAAAGCTGAGAAAAAAAGAAGCAAAGACCCAGCTGCATCCCACATAATTTCAGGTACTGAATTAAGGCATCCAAATTAAGACTGCAGCCCCTATGGTCTCCCCACATAGTCAATGGGAAGTTAAAAGCCCTTCCAGAGGGTGATTCAGCCCCAGGAGATTTTGAATTTCCCACTAGGGGTGTCTCTCTTTCTCCCCATTAGCCTGTGCAGGAGCACACAGGTGTCAAGTCCTAAATTAGACTCCTTGGGCTGTGGTTTCTTGATCTGGGCACGCAGGCGGCAAGAAGTTGCCATCTGCGTTGCCATGTGGTCACTCCTGTCCCTGTGGCACAAAGTGTGGAGGTTCAGCCGAGCCAGCACAACTGCCCGGGGCAGAGCGCAGAGGTCTCAGACAGATTCAACAGCCAGAAAACTTCAATTTACGGAGCTTTTCTTCCTCCAGAGCAGGTCACTGCCTGGGTTTACAGCACAGCTCCACGCTGTAGGGGCTGTGTGCCATGTCACAGCAGTGGGACGGGGGCTGCAGAAGGGGAACCGTTAGGCTGGCATTGCTGCCCCATGCTCCATGGGTGCAGGACAGCAGCCTGGCTCCTGACGTGGGGCAGATCCAGGCCTGCAATGAGATGTTTGTGGCAAAGGAGAAACCTCCATGTCTCTTCATGGACATGGTGGTGTAAGGGCCAAGGAAACCCAGTGACACTTCTGAAGAGCGAATCAAAGGTGATATGTGAAATGTGTACATAAAGCCAGCACAGCTTTGTGGCCACCAGGTATATATGGGCTGGAGGTATAGCCGGGCTTTGGCATTATAGTTACATGTATAGTTCTACAATCTGCCCTTTACTAACTATTCATTATATTCATAATAAAACATGCTGCTGAAGAAGAAAGTAAACATCAGGATATTGTCAAATTTTGACAATGAAGCTATGTAAATAACAGTTATGTATGCATGCCTCAGGCAATGTTAGCGAGGGCTGACTGGAGCATCTTTGAAGCTAATAAGAATATTTACATGCCCAGTATTAATATAAGCATATGTCGAGAGGGAGAGAGGTGCTCTTGAATGAAAGGAAAGGACTTGGACTTTCTGGTTTAAAATTTTTTTCTTCCAACAGACATCTGAAACTATTAAAAATCTCATAACCCATAAATAAGTTATGATTGTTTATCATATATATGATAAACAGTGAGTAGCATGAAAAAAAGAACAGAGTAAAAGCATTTAGAAGGAAAAATAGTTTTGAATTAATTAATGATACCTTAAATACTTCAAGATTTCTTCTGCTTATATTATCATAGTTGTCAGGAATCAGTTTATTGATATGAATAAACTGTCTTCATGACAGAGGGAAAATTACTGGGTTTTTTGCTAAAACATTTAAAAAACCCAAATCCTATGCATGCCAGTGGTGAAACAGTTAAAGCTCCCCTTACACTGTCAGTATGTTCCCAGTTTTATATGCCTGCTAAGAAGTCTGACACTCTGAAAAAAAGTAATTTTCACTTTGCATTTCTCCTTTCATTTGAGTTTCCTTACTGCTAATGATACACCTCTTCACAATTGCCGGATTTTCTGAGTATGCGTGTGATAGGGAAGAGGATTTGCCATGAATGTTCATAGTTGAAGAGAAAGATAATGAGCAAAAGCTGTGGTCCCTACTGTCTTCTACCAGAATGGGTGAAATTAGGGGTCCAGAGGTCATTTGCAGGTGATGCATAGGACCCAAATAGTATTATAATGGCCAATATAAAAATCTGAACTGACCCAGCATTTGTGCATTAAAAAAAGCCAAGGAGTAGTGAGCTTAGCTTGCAAAAAAAGCAATTTGGTGGCCTGTTGATGCTTTGGAGTTGGCAAGATTTTGGGTTGGGAAAGGGATAGAGACACCACCTGTGACAATCCTCAAATGACTCTATGTGCTTTGCTTCCCTCCCCCCCCGCCCTTATTAAAAACCAGGAAGCAATGATTACTTTTGCTGGGTTATACAGCATACCTCATCTCACCTGTGGGATATAGCTCCCTTGAAACAATCCACTCATTCCTCCTTCAGCTGTTAAGCACTTACCACTTTCTCTCTGTGCTCTCCACTGCTCTCTTTATGAGTCAAAGCCACAGCAGTTATTTCTGATTTTCTAACCACAGAGGATTTTATATTTCATAAGATCTCCATTTATGATCAGTAAGCAGAAGAGTAGATAAAAGGTAAAAAAGCAGCAAACAGTGAAGAAAACCATGTTTACCAAGACTGTTAAAGTAGTCAATTCTGCTGCTCTCTTGGCTCTAAGGCAATGTTTCCTGGCACCTGAACAGTGACAGAGGCTGAAGGAGCGGGTGGATAGTAAAGAAAAGAGGGAATGACCCAGCAGAAAACAGTGGCCATGGTTGGGATTCCAGCCTATTGGGTACAGTAGCTGCTGGCAGGCAGCCTCCAGCCTGCTTCTGAGGGTGCAACTGAGCCTTTGCAAGTGTCATTTCATTAGTTTCATTCACGGTTCTGCATCTGAGCTGCTTCCATCTCAGCCTGATTCAGCAGACAAATTATGGCTTCTCAAACCCACAAAGTGCCCAAGTGACTTCCCAGTCTGAAAGGGAACTGCGAGGCAGTGAAGCCTTGGCCTGATCAGTGCTGAACATGGGAATTCATGTTCCATGGGTCTGAGATCAATGCTGTCATAGCATGCTTGCTTCACACAGTACAGATAATTTTCCTATGTATTCCAGCAGAGTCCTTGCTTTCCTGTTGCTGGAAACAGGAGGGGAGAGTGTGGATTTTGCACATTTGCAGTTCTGTTGGCTTGTTACATTTCTGTAACTTTTCAATATTTGCAGAAACACTCAAAGTTGACATATGCAAACATCGGAGTAAGCCAGTGACATGAGCACATGAACACAACTTCTTTATGACTGGAACAGCTCATGATGTGTTTTTCCTTGAGCAATATGCCATTTTTTTGATGCATCGTTCTCTTACATCCCTGCTCTCTTCCTCCACTGCACCTTTCTCACCTTTTCTTCCATTTCCTTTCTCTCACCCCCTCACCAGGGCACATATATGACACCATAATCACAGTGTTATGTATTATTATTGCTTACTTACACGGTGTGCTATATATAGCAAGGAACAGCTAAATTTGCACTGTTGTCACACAGGTGGGACTTCTCATTTTTGAACAGAGTCATTTTTATTTAGTCATTACTGAAAAGAAAGTCAAAATTAACCTGGAGCGCCAGATTCAAATCTAATTAATGTCTGAAAATGTTATAAAACATGCAGTCTATTTAATGACTTACCAAGTTTAGAAAGAAAAAGAAAACATTGTATATTAGCACTATTCTGAGATGGCATTACATTCTGCCACTGTTGATTTTCCAGATAATGTTGTTGTTTAATTAAACTTTAAGTAGTGGTTTAGATTCAGATCCTACTATGTTTAAGACTGTGGAGAGGCCATGTTTTTCAGGGGATTCCTTGCATATGTAATTATCTGTGTGCATTGTAACATTTGATTTCCAACAGAAAATAACAGCTTACCTTTGCCCACCAGCTTGAGAGCATGAAGTAGGTGTTAACATTTTCCTCACCAAACTGTTCTGCCACATAGAGCCCTAATGATCCATACTTGTCATATATGTTTCGCTTGGGCAGATCGGTCAGTGTTGCATGAGCATTGTTGATCTCTTTAAATTTTTCTGCAGCTTCTGGGTTGTCCGGATTCTTGTCAGGATGATATTTCAGAGCCAGTTTTCTTAAACATAGGGAGAAAAAAAAAAAGAACAGAAGGGAAATAAATCATCTGTATGCTTGCATGTACACAGACACTTACAAAACACTACAAAATGTTTTTGTAGAGATGTAATAATTCTGAACAATGTATTCAGCCGCCTTTTTCCCAGCTCTGTTTTGCTTAGTGGAAGAAAAGTGTCACAAAATGACTGAGCGTGAGAGTGTTGCTAAAAGAGATGTTCCTTTACACTGAGCATGAACCCTGTGTATTGGTAACAGGTCAGCTGCCGTGTTAAAGGTGACAGTGATATACGCTGAAAGCAGAGATTGCGGCATGATAATAAATCATGTGCATTTGTTTCATTATGAGTGCCAACTGATTTGCATCATTTAGCAGGTTTCAACAAAGATAAAGATTTTTTAAAGGTTGTTTAATAACATGATAATCACAATATTTGTCTCACCCACGTTATCTTCTTTACAGCAAAGGAAATTCTATATTTGATTGCCTATCAATAGCAGCTCAGTTAGAATTCTGTAATCAGTGTCTGTGTTTGCAGAAGCCCAGATAACGATGATGGAAAACACAGTTAGGAGTTGCAATAGAAAGAATGCATCTTTCTGAAGCACAAGGTGGAAAGGCATAGTGAGTTAAGTCCAGTTTTATGTGTTTGTCTTTGGGCCTAATTCCCCACCGTTGCACTTCTGAGACAGAACTTAAAGCAGTGGAAGCTGACTGTCAACTCTTGGGGGCTGTTTATGCTGATGGCAGGGCTTTGCTGGGACAAGGCTCAGTACTGCCATTATCCCCTGTCTGTACTCCGTGCTGTGGACTCTGAGAACAGTACAGCTTGAGGGGAACAGTGTGGGACTGTTGGCTCTCAGACACCACCAGGGAAGCACAGCTTAGGGAAGAAAGGGTTTACCTCAACCCTGTTGAAGCACTGGCAGTGTGAGCTCACATGTGTTTGCAAAACAAGCATAGACGGGAGTGTAGCTCTCCAAACATCTTAACTCCCTTTGAAGAACCGACAGTAACGTTTTAGAACATCTATTTCATGGTTAATGCTGACCTCTAGTGGCATCGGAAGTGATTTAACATTGTTTTAAATACTGAGATTCTCATCTCAGTCAAGCTACGTTGCATTTCGTAAATATTCTCCCTGAGTGTTTCAGGAGCTAGACATGACTGTTATGCCCCAAAATATTCTTCGAGGTGCCACGGCAGTGTCCCCACACTTCCTCTAATAAAATTGACCTCAAAATGGAGTCCTGTTTGACTTTCCAGTGAAGTTCCACTACAGGTTATTCCCCCAGTAAAGCTAACTACTTTGCTCCCGATGACAGTTCTTGACTTGGAGATATTCTGCCAACATCAAGACTAATATGAGCCTGGGAACAGCCTCTGCCAATGATGTCTTCAGTTCTGTATGCTGAACTCATCTTCTCATATATCGTAAGTAACTCCTTAAAAATGTCTAGAATAGCACAAAGGGTTTTACACTCAGTCATATTTAAAATACTGTGTATGTGGTACCTTAAACATAATTTTCCACTCCTATTTAACATCTGGTACCTTAAACATAATAAAAGATGAAATAGAAGAACTGGAAAAACAAGCTGTCTTGCATGACTAATGGCATTAAGTGCCATCCAAGTATTTAAGTAGCTTATGCAATCTACCCCTTTTCTTAGGTGAAAACAAAACACAGAAATTAGAAGAAAAAAAAAAAAGGAAGAGGTATTAGTTTGAAAATCCATGTGTGGTTTCAGGCATTGGACAATCATTCTCTAGCCTTTCTTTCCTTTCCAGCAGACCCAAAGACAGCTTCTTCCCACTCCATATCTCCAAAATTCTCAATTTAAAAAAAAACCAAAATTGAACCAAATGTAGTTTCAAAAGGTGAAAAACATTAGTTGCACACCCACTTTATGTAGTATTGTTTTAGAATACTAACAGAACTACTCTCAACATAATACAACTAACAAAAGTTGCAATATGTTCTTACTTTGATTTTGGTAAAACTGTCTTCACTAAAAATAACACATTAACAAAACAACTCCCTCCACACCAAGATGACATATACTAATTCGAGAAGATTTAGTAATGGGAAAGGGATCTATGTACACAAATAAGTGAGAAAAAGGACTCGGTTAAGTCCAACACAAGGAACAACAAAAGTAAGGACAATAACTATGTGACATAAACCAAAGTATCAGCTATATAGAAGATTCCGTGTGTGTACCTGAAAAAAGTGACATTCCTACGTATGTGATAATCGTGGTTCATTATGAGTAGAAAAAAAGGAAGACCAAAAGATGGAGAGACAAATAAAAAGGAGTATGTTGGCTACATCCTATACCAAAACCATGAATTAATGTCCATTCAGGTTTCTCGCATTAGGAATAACTTTGTCTTTCACCACACTGGGACCACTGGGCCCCTTCAAAGCAGCAAGTAATGTGAAAAGTGAAAATAGGTAGTAAAATAGCCATCCAATAAAATGGATAGGGCACTTTCACTTAAATGAAATGAGAGAAATATTCTCAGAGCCTCTATCAAAGGAAGGCTTAGAGTGAGAGGTGAGATCAGGGTGTAGGAGGGGTGGATATGATGAGGGTGTGATGCTGGAGGAGAGGTGATTTGAATCAGGATGTTGGAGTCAAGGCATCAGGCTGTGTGGCGGCTACGAAAGTGTAGGATGAGAGTGTGATAGGCAAGGTAATGGGCAAGACCCCATGATTCCTTCGATAGCTCAGCTGGTGGAGCAGAGGACTGTAGGCTCCCTTGCACGGCCATCCTTAGGTCGCTGGTTCACCTCTCATGAGAAAGAGTGCCCTTTTGGCAATTGCCCAGCCCAAGCGACACCTCTGCCTTTTGACCCTGCCCAGCTGGCTCCAAGTCAAGGCATGCCCAGCCTTCATCTCCGGCCTGAGCTGGGAAAGACAACCAGCCAAGTCTGTCAATAGTGAACTTTGGGTAAGAGATGGTGGTACTGGAGCACTGGTCTACTCTGGGGTCAGCTCCATCAGCAAAGTGAGCTGCGGCCTGGAGCTGTGGGAGTGAGACCCAGGCTTTGTGTGCAGGGCAGCCTGGGTCAGGGCTGGGGGCCTGGCGAGGGAGGGGACCTCAGTCAGAGGCCGTAGGATGGGGAATTAGCTCAAGTGGTAGAGCGCTCGCTTAGCATGTGAGAGGCAGCGGGATCGATGCCCGCATTCTCCATTGCTTTTCATTCCCTTTGCCTTGGAGCAGGGCACTTTGGCAGGGAACTCTCTGTCCTCTGAGGGCTGTGGGGAGACTGTCATGTGTCCTGACATTGCAGAGGACAATGACATCCTGGTCTGTATCAAGATCAGTCCGTGGGGTATTTGTATTATCCCTCTTTGCTTGACAGTGGGGAGATGTCATCCCCAGTACTGTGTCCGGCTTTGAGCCTCCCGCTTGAGGAAAGACATGAGGGAAATGGAACACCCGGGCAGGGCAACCAAAAGGTCAGGAAGTGGAGGCATTTCTCCTTGAGGATGGGATGAGGTCTGTGGGAATGTTGAGCCTGGGCAGAGTGCAACTGTCTCCAGGGAAGTTGCCTCAGGATCT